GTTCTTCCAGTCGTCTGTGCAGTGAGGTCACGGCGTCTCACAGACACTTTAAATTACAGAATCACACGAACGCATGAGGAAGGTGCAGGATTATAACAGACCAACAGACTATGAGCAGCGGTCTGACTGTACCTTCACTGCATGTAAATCAAATCTGGCCTTTAATTGCTTGTAACAAAAACTTAGATGAAGTTTTAGTTTAAAACTGACTGAATCCCATTTAGGGCTGCAGGTGGAGCAGTGGTTAGCACCGCTAGCGCCTCGCAGCTAGAAGGTCACCGCTTGGCGTCCCGGTGAGGACACCCGGGATCTTTCTGTGTGGAGTCTCCATGTTCTCCCCGTGCAGCGTGGGTTCTCTCCGGGTTCTCCGGCTTCCTCCCACAGTCCAGAAACATGCTGAGGTTAATTGGTGATTGTAAATTGTCCGTAGGTGTGAATGTGAGTGTGCTTGGTTGTCTGTCTCTAAGTGTAGCCCTGTGATAGACTGGTTACCTGTCCAGGTGAACCTGCCTTCACCCTGAGTCAGCTGGGATAGGCTCCAGCCCCCCATGACCCTGGTGAGGATTAAGGTGTAGAGATGATGGATGGATGAATCCCATTTAACAACTTAGCTTTTTGACTCTTGTTAATACCAGACCAAAACATGTTCATGTGATACTGACCAAAATACGGTTTGAAAAGTGATGGTGATAGAAGTCAGGTTTGGTGTCCTGATATCTAAACTACTCTCATCATGATGATTTTGACATGACTGCAGTTATTCACTTTCATCCACTCTGAACAATGACGGACATTTTATCACGGATACAAACTTGAATTGCATTTTTTTTAACATCATAACTCGAACGACACGAGCAACACTTATTTATTCTGTGGAGAACACGACTCCTACCATCTCCTGCTGCTGCTGTGTGAGTGGAGGACAGTGCGGCCTCCATATTTCCTGGGTAACCAACAGCTACAGAAGGAAACCATCATGCATCCACTCCTTCATTTGCATAACAACGGCCACGGAGGCCCGAGCCAACTCTGAGAGTCTGTGAGCCTCAAAGAGCTCCAATGAAAGACACACACACACACACACACACACACACACACACACACACACACAGTGGCCACCTAACATAATGTTATTTCCTTGAATTCAGTAATTGAAGAGGGCCATGCAAATCAGTTGTCCAAAGAGCTGCATGTTGATCAGGCTGAGAGCTTTACACCATCAGAGCCCTTCACTGGGGCCCATCAGAAGGATCTGGGTCTGGGTTTGTCGAGTGTCCCAGAGTGGGACATCTAGTGGGTAAAGAATTTACAGAATTAAACTGTTTTTATGCTCATTTTAGACTCAGAAGTAACTTTAAATTTTAAAACTGAGATTCTAGTTTTGGGCTTTAACATAAATCCAAATTAAAAATCAGGTGAAAAGATCATTACTAAGAATTTACTCTTAAAAATATAGAAAGAGCGTACCACTAATATCAGCAGGCATAAAAATTAACCAATGTTTTTATGAAACATTGAAGGAACGTTTAGAAGAACAGCATCGGAGGTCCTTGGTGATCTGGCTCAAACATTAAATTAAAGACCATCTTCTGTATGCAGGAGGTATTTAAAGTCTCATAAACAATAAACAGTGACTGAAGCAAGACTTTAACTTTGCACCATTTTGTCTTTTGGAATATTTAAAAGTAGTCATATAGAAAACAGATATTTAAATTGTCTTGTTAAAATAAGGAATACAATTTAAATCACAGTCAAAAGTCACGTTGTTGTGATCGTTTCAATAATACCAGCGAGCATCGAGGGCAGTTTGACTCTTCTCTGTTTAGGTCCTGTTAGGATAATCCTCGTTTTAACCATCTACACGTTAAGATCTTTTAAACAGGAAGTGCATCGGGGTCATTTAGTGACACTTAAATGTACAACTATGCATCATCCACATGTTCTGTTACAGCAACACTTTCATCAGTAATTAAGTAATATATATATATATATCACCAACCACAGACTGGATTTATGCATATTCTGACCACAGATCATGAAATAAAACCACGACGCAGAGCTCCAGCAACACAACACCTAAAACGTACGATACGACTGAACTGGTCTTAATTGTAGTTTCTCAATTAAAGCAGCGGAGTTAAATTTCATCCTCCCAGTATGTATGAACAGGAGAATTCACTGGTGTTGCACTGAGGTGGTACTTTGGGACCTTTCATTTAAGATAGTGTTGATGAAGTATTGAGATATGAGATACCGTAATGTCCGGACTATGAGCCACTACTTTTTTCACAAGCTTTGAACGCTGCGGCTAATTTATTGATTTTCACAAATTCGCCTCGAGACCAAAGTGAGGCTGAGAGCGACGACGACAGAGAGACTGAGGAAGTGATGAAGTGATTCTGAGGCTGTTCAGCTCCTGAAGACACTGAAGAAGACGACTTTAGTGGTTTTAGTGCAGGAGGAAGATGAAGATAGTGATCAGTGACTTTTCCTGGTAGCTGCTGGAGTTTTATTTCCTTAACCAGCCGTGTTACAGGAACTGTTCAGAAAAAAGGATCCACGTATTTGTGTATGTTATGTATTTAATTAAAGGTTAAACATCTTTCTGTGTAAATATCTCATGTTCCAACGTGGACACCTGCAGCCTGTATATGTACACACCTGGTTTTCTTTTTAAAGTTAGTGGGTGTGGCTTATATTCAGGTGCCCCAATAGTCTGGAATTTACGGTAAACAGTCTGAGCACTAAGGACAGTTGCAGTGAGCACCAGCTGGACATTACCAAGAGGAGAAGCTCCACAGAACAAGGCTCACTGACATGGTGTGTAGTTCTATGTTCCCCTAAAACTGTGACAATGATTTTCAGGCTGATCTCTCAATGAACCTCCTCACTAAGGTCTCGTTAAAAAAAAATTAAGGAATCCTGTCAATATAATGAAGTCATGCTCCATTTCCTCATCTTCCCCAAACCCTGTCATTTTCTGTTCTCTCTCTGTCACACAAACAGAGACAGAGATCTGTTGTGTTGGCCTGCAGGGCCAGAGAAACCTAATGACCGGGCAGAAAAACCACAGCTCCAGAAAAAGAAAGCCAGTCAGTCAGTCATTACTCTCCTTCTCCCGCTCATTTCATCCTCCTTTGTGAGGAATGCTTTCTTTCACTCTCCCCTTCGCATTCTGCTCGTCCACTGGCCTTTCCGAGCCTTTCCTCGTTCCCTCTGCTTTCAGCTGCTGGAGGAATTTGGTCAAAGACACCGAGTCTGACTCTAAAGTCCTGGATCACACGACTAACAAGTGATGTTCTGGATGTGCTAAATAGGTGTAAAAAAAATACAATAGCTGCCCTCAATCTGGGTCAGGAATGCTGTGATGATTCTTTCACTGTTGTTGACACTGAGTCTGTCTTCAGCTCAGTGGTCATGGATGAGACTGCATGTTGTGGGCTTAGAGCACAACACAGTGTGTCAGCCACATGGGGTCTGGGTTTGTTCTGCTGGTTCCACACTGGCCTTGAAACATGACGGTGTCTTAATTGTTTGCAGTGAAAGTGATAAAGTAGGTAATAACAAAAACTACATAAACGGACCAAAAACCATTTTACTGTTTATCAGACTTACGCATGATAGCAACACAAAGTCAAGGAAAAATGAATAAGTCAAGCTAGTCAATGAAATCAGACAATTTGGCCTGCTCTGGAAATGATCTCAGTGAGGTGGTTTGTTGTGTTCACACCAGACACAAGTAGCATCATTTGCATGTAAAGTCGATGTGAAGACGTGATTAGACGCGAGTTGGATGCTTCATTCGCATGAGTTCAAAAATCTGAACTCAAGCAAGGATTTGCGCCGCAATGGCCAATCATCGTTGAGATCCTCTGGTGACGTATCCTGGTATCCTGGTATCCTGGTATCCTGGAGGGATATCCTGGTACCGATCCTCTCCAACAGGTCGTCAAACTGGGTCTGGATCAGCTGAAAACAGCGCTGGAAGCACCATCATCCAGACGTAGCTCCTGGAGGAGGTGGTGGAATTCCCTGAGCTGTTTGCATGTCTGGAGGATCTGATGGACCCGATGGACCTGGACACTGCGGCGTCTGGATCTCCGTGGTTTCTGGGCCTTCCACAGCAGATACGAAGCAGCAAGGTTGTCGAGCACAACCGTGTTTGATGATACCACACTGGATAGTGGAAGGAAACGGGCAGAAATTCCTGGCGGACGCGTGAATGGGGCGAGTTTACTCTGAATTCTGATCTGGTGTGAACACAACATTAGGGAATGTCGACTAGCCTTGTCAGAATCAAAACATTTCTAATTTCAATACCTTCTGGATATTTAACAGCATTTCCGATGCAAGTAGAAGTAAAAAGCCAAGCAGCGCTAGCTTGTGCATTTTTCTGTAAGAAATGAGCAAATAAAGGTTGTACAATCACTTGTATTCTTAAGACAAGGGATCGTCTTGAGAGGTTGCACAGATGAAAACAGCAATACGACAAAACTCCTGATTCTACAGGTCCATGGCTACCCAGGATCCTGCACACTGGCTCTACCACAGTGACTGGATGTGGAAGACAAAATGAAGCGAATGCTGACTAATGGCTGCCTATGAGGAAGACCCAAGAAAGAATCCTGTGTGTAACCATTCTGACATCTGCTGTATGAACATTTTATGGGACTGTACAGCCCAAAGCAGACAAATCCAGCAGACGGCATCAGTGAAGATGTGCTGCTGCATCTAAACACTCATTTGCAGAATTGCTGGGATCAGTGCTGTTATGGTGTCTGTGAGGCCGCTACAGACATGAGCCTGTACGGGACACAACTGACCTTGTCCTGGACAGATAGCCCAAAGCAGCTCGCCAACTTAACCAACCTAAAACACTCGCTTTGTAAGTAGACTTTGCTTTGAACAAAACAACAGTGTTGCGGGGAGTCATCACAGAGCAGAGCCTGCAGAGTAAGTTAAGAACGAGAAAAGAACAGCAAAGAAGAAAACGGACTCACCTGAAGAGTCGCAGACTGACATCTGAGTTTCTGAGGAGACAATGAGAAGAAAAACCTGATAAATACAACATTTTGGTTAGGCATAAAAAAAAACCCTTTGAATACCAAATGCAGTTGGTTGGTTGGTTGGTTGGTTGGTTAGTTAGTTAGTTAGTTAGTTAGTTAGTTAGTTAGTTAGTTAGTTAGTTAGTTAGTTAGTTAGTTAGTTAGTTAGTTAGTTCACAGTGTTTAGTGAAGTCCAGTGGTGACCTGCTTTTAAAAAGGCTTCAGAGCATCTACAAAACTTAAACCTGTCCTGCATCTTTCCTACTGCTCATCTATACATTTACAGTTGAACCCAGAAGTTTACATCCACTGTATAAGGAGACACATAACCTTTTATTTCTTTCTGTCTGACATTAAATCAGACTAAACGTTTCCTGTTTTAGGTCAGTCAGGATCATCAACATTATTTCTATTTGCTAAACGCCAGAATAATGAGAGAGAGGATTTTTTACTACTTTCTTCAGAGTCAGAAGTTTCCATCCATCTCCTCAGTATCTGTAGCGTTGCCTTTATACTGTATGACTTGGGTCAAACGTTCTGGGTTTCCTTCCTCAAGCTTCTCACAGCAGTCTGATGGGTTCTGGCCCATTCCTCCTGACAGACCTGGTGGAACTGAGTCAGGTTTGTGACCCGCTTTGCTTGCAGCTCTGCCCACAAATTTTCTACTGTAACATTAGTGGATGTAAACTTCTGACTTTGAAGAAAATAATAAAAATCTCTCTCTCATTTTTCTGGTGTTTAGCAAATAGAAATAATTTTGGTGATCCTGACTGACCTAAAACAGAAAAAGTTTGGTCTGATTTAATGTCAGACAGTGAGAAATAAAAGGTTTTATGTCTTGAAAGACGCAGCTTCTCTAAAGCGGTCATAGCACCTGCACAAGGTGACGGTTTAACATGTCAACAGGAGCCAAAGAAGCAGTGGAGACTAAAAATAAAAATGTTTCACAAACTGCATTTAAACTGCTGCACTTACTCACATGTGGATTCTGCATAAAGAAAAGTGTAGCTGGTCACTGGCAATAAATCACCCAAATATTCTGTGAGCTAAAGAACAAAGGTCCATTCTGCATCTGCAACAGCAGGTAGTAGCTGTGATGTAAACGTCATCATCAACCAAATCCGCAAGGGTCTACAGATCCATGTGCATCCACAAAAACTGTGACTGTTCATCCTGCACATGTGCCAGGAAAACAAGTGGTGCTTGAAACAAAAGTTCAGTTTGAGGACAGACCGTGTAGAGTGATCCTCAGTCATCCACACCTTCAGGATTCATCATCAAAAGATCTGAAATTTAAATCGCTGCTCCATGACTTTGGAGAAGATCTGATTCGTACACGCTTTCCATCAACACAGTGGGAAGTCTGTCTGTCTGTGCAGCAGACCGATGTGGATCCAGAACTGCATCACATTCACTAAAAAAGCCTCATTGGTTTGGACACACGAATGTGGAAAACACAAACTGGCCTTCAGAGTCCTGAAAGCTCCCTGAGGTTAAATCCAGGAACCAAGCCTCAGAAGTGTGTTACACCATTTTTATTTTGTTCTAAAGTTAACTTGAGGCCAAAGATACAAGACCTACATCTGACTTTAGAACCGACAGAAGGAGAACCAGACTGGACATGTGGGACAAATGGTTTGATCAAAAACATCTTAACTCAAGGCAGAAGCTATTTACCAAACCTTTACCCGCCTCTTGGGGCCGTCGTTAGCAGATAGTTTGCTCTGTATGGAAATCTGTCCACATGATGACAGGTGTCACTGACAGCATAATAACAGTTTGGCCTCTATATGTTCATTGAGGGTCTCTGGTGCCAGATGTAAACGATCTCCTTCATCTTCCTCCGGTCATCCACTGACTTCTGCTGGAAGCCGCTTCACCTTTTCACCGGTGTTTGCTGTCTACACACAGACGGCACATGTTGCCTGTTTCTGCTGTTAATTTAGTCTCTGGTCAAGAATTTTGATTTCTGCAGTATTAAATCTATAATAACGCGATGACTTCAGGTTAACAGCCAGACTCCAGACTTACCGGAGCAGGAAGCAAAAGCAGGAAGTAACATTTAATCCTGTGAACCTCAAATGTCATTGGCGAGTTTGAAAGGCATGTTGTCTTTTAAAAAATGCAAAATTATGCTATTTGTCACAACAAGAAACTGTCCTTCTGACTTTCTACTTTCCGAGGGTCCCTGAATCCCTCATCTGCAGCGTTTAGCCAGGACACGTAAATATATTTTAAACTTGAAATTAGGATATTTTACCAAAAGCACTACGATCTACACGCCTCATTTAAAAATGTGCCTAAAAGAAACCATTTGCACCTGATTCTGGAAAATAAAAAATCTTTCAGATGCAACATTTAGGCTGTTAGTGACTAAGATGCAACCAGCAGTCACACAAGCTGGGCTGAACTGGTCAACCAGAAGGAGACAGGTATGGGAACGAGCATCTACTGTGATGCTGACTGTTGGTTTTTTTGGTGATTTATGGTGTTTATATTGTGTTGTGCTACACAGCAGACATGTCTGAGTTCTCATTATACTTGTAGTTATGGTTCTGATGTTTCTGTGGGGTGTAGAGCTACATGTCTCAGTCCTCACCAGCAGAGCTTTGGCCAATCAGTCAGACATTCCTTTTAATTGATAACCAGCTTCCTGCCCGTCTCTTCTGGGATTCTAAACCACTCCTCTTCTGTGATGGATCCAGGTGTCTGAGGGCTTCCTGTCTAGTTTTCAGTTCAGGTCTGGGCTTTGGATGGGCTGCCCCAATATGATGAGTGTGTGTTTCTGATCATTGTCTTGTTGGAAGGTCCAATGGGGCCCAAAGCCAAGTGGCCTGATGGTTGTTTACTCTGACATGGTTCCCTGGTCCCCCCTGACTGAAAAACACCCCTAAATCCTGCCACCATGCTGGACAAAGGGGGTGTTGTTCCTGGGTTTAAATGCTTCTCCTTTCTTTCGTCTCTGTATCCAAACTACTGCATTTTCATCTCATTGGAGAACTCATGAACAAATGCTTTCTGTTTTGTCTGCTTCTACAAAGGCTTGGCGAGCTTTTGTGTGTCTGAGTATCAGTTACTCATATCCATGAGGATAGTGTTGGTGGTGATCCTTGGAGTCTTCTTGGCCTCCTGCACCTCCAGTCTTGCCAGTTTGGGGGTCACTTTTGGTTTCCTACTCCACCTTTCATCAGTCTGAAGCTCCTCGACAGCCTTAACATGTCTTCTGAGCAGCCAGAATGTGCAACGCTCTCAGAGCTAGACCCTAACATTGAGCTCACTAAGTCCTTTGATTTTAGCCGTAGACTAGCAGCTAACACACTAGGTATAGCTCGCTGTTCCCAATGTGTAGTGTATTAGAAAGGTCTTAGTATAATCCAGCTTTCTAGTTCATTCATTTACACTCAGACACTGTATTTGAAAGACATGCTGCATGTCTCTAGATGTCCATAAACTGAATGTTGGAATCCAGCAGGAAGTCAGTCAGCTTGCTTGGATGTGAGACACTATAGATCTGTAGCTGCTGAGCGTAGAACAGCCTACAGGCAGATTCAAGGCATGACTTTGCTTGTCTGCACAGTCAGTGCTGCACAGACGAGCACACGAGCCAAGTCTTTGGACATTTTTCACCGTGGGTATTGACCTTATTCCTGCCACGCCCTTATCTTATTAAAGCTGCTAAAGATTTTGTCAAGCTGATGTGCAGTGAGTCATGCAGACTGATGCACTACAGCACTGACATCATTCAGGAAAGTGGAATGAAAACACACGAGAGATCCTTAAAACACCTCACAACAGGCCAACAGGTCAGGACGTCTGCCTCTGCACCGGTATGATGTGAGAATTTCTATCTCCTAAAATCACACAGACAAGAAATTTAACTGAAGAAACAGATCACACTAAATTCATAAACTCATATCAGCAATACAACCCGAACCCTACCACCTGCAATTCTGGTTTTCATAATCAATGTAAACACAAAACCCTTCCATCCATCATCTCTACACCTTAATCCTCACCAGGGTCATGGGGGGCTGGAGTCTATCCCAGCTGACTCAGGGTGAAGGCAGGTTCACCTGGACAGGTAACCAGTCTATC